AATATTCTTGCATTTCCATCGCATTCCCTCTTCTTGACTTCTCCCTTTTCTTCATATAGTGAAATTAAAAAAAAAAAAAAGAAAGAAAGAAAGGGAGCTTCTATACCTTCTCATTCTCTCAAATTTTTACTATATGTCCAAATACAGTAGTAAAATTTACCTTATTCCTTTTCCTCTAAGACTTCATTTGACACTTAACCCTTTGGGCAAATAACCTTTGATCACCTTATGGTGCATCCCTCTTCTCATAAGTGGGTTTTAACTCACTCCATGACAATATTATAAAAAAAAAAAAAAAGACTTTATTTGGGTGCCACGCATAACACCTTTTTCTGCAACATCTCATTTAAAAATATAAATTTATTATAACAATTAATTTTAATTAATATTTTATATATTATTTTAGTAATTTTAATTAATTTTTTTATATTTTTAAAATAATAAAATGTAAAAAAATCTATAACTACATCACAGCATAGAATAATATAGAGTTGATAAATGAAACCTAAGAGTCTAAAATTTTAGGGGGTGTTTGGTTAAGGAGTAATTTTCACCCTTAAATTTTTTAAAATTATTTTTATAAGGTTATTTACGTGCTTTTACTCATTACTACTACAACAAAGAGAGAACAAAAGTGGTATTTTAATCATTTATTTTTTTTAAACACAATTCTCTATCTGTGAAGTCTCCTTTCATTTATTTTCAAAAAAAACATTTTTCCTATAACTTTTTTTACATCGAGTCTATTTAACAGTTCTCTCTATTTTATTTTTTCTTTATCAATTACTTATCAAACACAACAAAATTAATAACTCAATAAAATTCTAACAAAATTTTATTACAAAACTTCATAACTTTTTGTGTATTACTTTTCTAACCACTATCTCTTTAAAAACTTTCTTAATAAAGTGATCCTTTAAGCAAGCAAACCTTTTGTTTGAAATTGCCAAATTATAGTTGTAACTATAAATTTTTTGATCTTTTAATATTTATAAAATATAAAATATATTTAATATTTATTTAATTTTTTAAATATATTTTTAAGATAATAAAATATAAGAAAACTAAAGCACCAAAATGCATCCTCAAATGACACCTTACTTCTTGATCCAAACTGTGATTTTTCTTTCCACCTCCATGAGCTGATTAAAAAAATGTACTAAATAATAACCTAACAAAAAAAAGTGTTGTACAGTACAAATTATATTATATTGTACAACATTAATTATCAAATAAAATAAACTCCCTAATATTACAATCCTCTCCTTATTTAATGATTTATATTTTACAATTTAATGTAGTTTGAATTGCGAAAAAAGGTATTCTAACCTAAATTATAAGTACTCATCAAAATGTGTGGTTATGGTTACCCAACACTTTGTTATGGTCACACCAATTATGTTTAATTTGATTGGTACTTATAGTTTTTTTTTTAACAATTAGTTATGATATTTAAAAATATTAGTTTATAAATTAATTTTAATTTATTAAATAATAAATATTAATTATTTCATTTAATTATTAATTATTTTTAATATTCAAATCAAACAATATTTTTTTAATAATATTGTATGATTTTAACAAATTAATAAGTGATTATAGGGAACATCCGATTGACACCCACATTGAAAAAGCAGACAAATCCGTAATAAAAAATCCAAAATTGATCAAAACTACAATCAATAGGTAGGGTTTGACTAAGTTTTGGAGTTTTTTCAAACTAAAAATCAAATCAAATTAATGTTAAATGACTTGAGATTTTGTTGCTATGTTTAAAAATAAAAAAATTGAAAACTACGGCGAGTATTGCTAAGAAATTCAGTTCAAAAACTTTTTATATAAGTTTTTAGATAATTTCAAGATTTTTAAAAAAAATTTCGTGTCAGTTTTTGCCATATTATTTATTTACTTAGTTAATTTTTTAGTTTTTCATAATTAAAATTAATAAAATAAAAATTAAAAAAATTAAACAATATAGAAATAAATTTTTAGTTAAAATTAAAACCAATATAAATGATTATTCTAAAAAAATTAACCAAAACCCATAAAATTCATTTTTTTCTGATTTAATTAATAGTTTTTAAAATTTAACATCCAAAATTTTAAATAACCAGTAATTCGGTATCGGCTACAACCGAAACTGAACCATG